GGGGGGGGGGGGGGGGGGGGGGGGGGGGGGGGGGGGGGGGGGGGGGGGGGGGGGGGTCACGCGGAGGAGCAAGTGAATAACGGAGACGCCAGGCGTGCGAAGACAAACAACGATCAAGAGGTGGTGATGAAGTGCGAACGACGCTCACGATGGCGAGCATTAAGCAAGCGAAGAGTACACCGTTTAGAGTCAAACCGTCGATCTACCGGAGGTACGGTATGTCGAGTAGTAGCTGGTTTGCGTGTCTCACTCAAACGCCGCCGCCCCCACGTTTCTACTCCACCCTCGAGATGAACACAGCAGTCACGCTTGCGGTAACCAGCAAGAGCGCTCTGCCCTCAACTGTCCATCCCGCGCCATTCCTCTCCTCTCTCCACCAACACATCCATCGATCGTATCGTATCCACCTCGTCATTTGTATAAATTGCCGACTCTCCAGAGGGGTGTCCTGTAGGTAAGTCTATCGACACTCTCATCAACCTGTCGTGGGCAACACATACAATGGCCCCATTCTTCATGTCGACTCCGGCGTATATTAGCCGGGACACCTTTATCTAAACGATAGGTGACATATCACAAGGGCCGAAATCTTGCCCAGGACGTTCTTCTTTCCGGAGTAACAGCAAACAACAGCCAGGGCACCGCCGTGCGCACCAACCATCGCTCGGAACCCCACCCACCTCCAGGGCTCGATGAAGTGCTCGCTCTGGTGCACCCTGGGGTTGAAGTACTTCCCCTCTATGCCGAACGCGGCGTCCATGCACATGCTGTCCTCGTCCCCGAGGATCTCCGACGAGGCCACGTGCTCGAAGTCCAGGGTCGCCGCCAACGCCTCCGTGGAGGGTGGCGACGCCTCCGCCGCCGGCGACGACGGCACGCTCCCCGGCGACGACGACGGAGACTTGGCGTCTTCGGTACCGCTGCCGCCGCCGGCACCGCCGCTGCGGTCTTGCCACGGCACCCCAAGGGCGAGCTCGAAGGTCGGCGCGGCGGAGTCGTCGGAAGGGGTGTTCTCCAGCCGGTGGATGTCGTCCATCTGCACGAAGATGCCGTGCTCGCAGAGCAGGGTAACCCTCAGCCGGACCTTCGGCTTCTTGGCGACATCGATCCCGCCGGCCCCGCCGGCCGCGTTGGCCGCCGTGGTCCCCGCCGAGGAGATCGCGGCTATCTTCATCGCGGAGCTCGCCGCGATCTTGGCATTCTTGTCCGCCTTGGCGCCGATGGAGGTAACGCCGCGGGTGGCCCCGCCCAGGCTGTACTCCGGCGTCAGCTGCCAGGAAGGGTTTCCGTTCACCACCGCCGCCGTGGCCGCGGGGCCGACGCTGTCTGCGATGCTGACGATGCTCGTGCGCCTCTCCGGCGGAGCCGCCGGACCCAGACCCGCCGCCGCCGGCGTCGGGGTCGTCTTGATGCTCTCCCCGCTGATCCCCCGGTCTAAGGACGACACCACCGCCCCCGCCGAGCTCCCGCGGCTCTGGCGGCTGAGGCTGTTGATGCTGGTGCCACCGCTGCCGCCGCCGCTGCCGCTGCCCCCCAAGGCGAGGTTGTGCTTCCCGAACAGCGAGCGCAGCGCGCGCCGGCCCCCGCGACCGCTGCTGTCGGTGACCGCCCGCACCGGCAGCTGGGTGGCCCGGCGGCCGTGGGGGGTCTGAGACGTGCGCCGGGTGAGGTGATTTCCTCCGTAGAGGAGTACGAAGTACGGCAGCGACCCCGGGAGGCCGGGGCCGAGCTCGACGGCGCCGGCGGCGATCGGGGTCGAGAAGACGCGGTACACGTGTGAGGTGGTGCTGGCGCTGTCTCCGTCCCCCGGGAGGACGGTATCGATCTGTCGAGAGTGTGTGTGCGAGGAGGGGCGGTTGTTGGTTGCGCGGACGTAAAACCGGCGGTCGGTCGGTTGGTCCGTCGGTTGGCATTAACACGTCACAAGAGGGGCGGGCAAGGGTTCAGAGTTCGCTAATCCTCACGGGTCCCGTAACCAACGAAATCGGCGGCCCAACCAGCCAAAAGGCAAACAAACGCTGCCGGCCAAGAGCTACGTTGTGTTCCGCACTGCCGCCCGCCCACCCTCCATCAACAAGGGTATCTCACGTGCATGCCGGTCTTGCGGAGTCCCATCTCATCCGCCCACTTGGGGACATCCAGCCTACTACCGCCGGACGACGTAGAAGACGTGCTCCGCGCGCTGGTGAGCCCGGGTCGCCCCTCACCGCCGACGCCGCTCTTGGCGCCGGCACCGGCGTTCGCTACTGCGTGCTCGTCGTGGAAGCACACCAGCAACGTGCAAGGCCTGTCGATCTCCATCCTTACGCCCGGCGGGGACGCCGACGACGACGCCCCCCGCATGGAGCGCCCCCGGCCCGTTCCCCCCGGCGCGGGGAGCCTGACGCCGGTAACGTACTTCTCCGCTGGCGGCGGCGTCGACAGCAACAGGGGGTCTACGGCCGGCGGGGTCGCCGGCGGGGCCGCCAGCTCTTTTGGCAGCCTTTGGATCCTCATTCCCGACAGGGCGCCCGGGGGCGGGGAAGCGCGGCGTGAGCTAGACGTGTTCTGTGTGTGCGTTGCCGTAGTAGGGGGCAGTGGGGGGGGGGGGGGGGGG